CTGTCGTCGTTGTGGGTTCTGTCGTCGTTGTGGATTCTGTCGTCGTCGTGGGTTCTGTCGTTGTGGGTTCTGTCGTGGGTTCTGTTGTCGTGGGTTCTGTCGTGGGCGTGTGATGTTCCGGTCACATGTCAGAGTGAGTCAGATTCAGTGTGCTGAGCGTCAGAACCTCAGACAGAGCAGTTCCTTCTGTTAGCGCAGTGCTTCTCAAATAGTGGGGCGCGCCCCCCCCAGGGGGGCACGAGGCTCCGTCAAGGGGGGCGCGTTTGACCTCGGGGAGCATGCTTTTTTATTTTTTTATTTAGATTTTTTTTACTGTCTTAAGGGCCGTTCACACCAAAGCGTCAAAAAACGCCTTGACGCCTCTATTTGAGCGCCTTTGCATTTGAGTTCAGACGCCCCCGACGCGCATCTTTGACGCCGTGGACGAACGGGACAAAAATACTTGACGCGCGTCCGTTGCCCTGGAAACAAGAGCCCGGTCCCGCTCTTTTCCCGAAACAATGTCAGACCAGACTGAGAGAGTGTTTTTATGACATAAAACATCAAAGGAGGAGATCGGGTCGACGACTGGGGCGTATATATATTTCTACTCCGCTAATGACACTGGATCAGTCCCGGTCTAGTCCTGGTCTAATCACGGTCTGGTCCCGGTCTGGTCCCGGTCTAGTCCCGGTCTAGTCCTGGTCTAATCACGGTCTAGTCCCGGTCTAGTCCTTGTTTAGTCTCGGTCTAGTCTCGGTCTAGTCTCGGTCTAGTCTCGGTCTAGTCCTTGTTTAGTCTCGGTCTAGTCCTGGTTTGGTCCTGGTCCGGTCCTGGTGTAGTCCTCGCGATCGGCTCGGTGATTGTGGTGTATATATTTATGCTCCGCTCATGTTTGTGGTTCTCGTTCTGGTTCTCGGGTTTTTCTTCCTGATAATAACGTCGCTGCGTCTCTGGATACTCGTCCCTGATTGGTTGACGCGGCGCGTCTGACGCGAAAAGTTCAGAATTTTCAACTTCTTGACGCTGACGCCTTGGACGCGCGTCTTGGCCGCTGACGCCAAAACGCTGAAGACGCGCTGCGCTGACGCCAGATTCGCGCCGCGCTGACGCCGAAAACTCGCCGCAAAAACGCAGGACGCTCTAGTCGCGCGTCCACATAGACTTTACATAGAAAGTGGACACTTTGACGCTTTGGTCTGAACGGGCCTTTAGAATAAAGTGCAATTGCACTTCCACTACATTAGGGGGCAGAGCGCTCTCATTGGCAGAGTGTGCGCAGGGAGCATTCGCTCGGTGGTGTAGGAGTTTTGTTTGCACTGAGCATGCGCGCTTTGCACACAGCACAGAGTTTGAGTATGAAATGTAAACACGAAGTGTAGCAGACGCTCAAGTGACACCATGAAAAAATATTTAACAGGGATGAGAAGACAGGCGGAGAGAAACGGAGATACGGGGGGCGCGAGATGTTTTATTCGTCCTGGGGGGGGCATGACAGAAAATAATTGAGAAGCACTGTGTTAGCGTCACAAACCCACAGACTGAGTGACGTCAGCTGAACTCCGTCTGTTGTACAAATCTTTTAAATTCACATTTTACTTGTTTCAGTTTTCAAATGCTCACAGAATGAAATTATAAATACAAATAGAAAATGTGTAGATTTTTTCAAATATTTCAGTGCAGAATTGATAATTTCATAAATGCATCTTTAAAAAAAACTTTGATAAAAATATTTTAAAATGTAATTCAACGCAATAGACAAACTGTTCAAATTTAATGACATTTAAAATAAATTATTTTATTGAAAATGTTGAAAAACACAAACGGATCCACAAATAAACAGCAGCACATTAAACATGTTTTTTCTTTTTTTAATAAAAAGAGTAAAAAAGAAAAAAGAGTAAAACACTTTAATATTGAATCAAATTGAAGCATGTGAACACTTTAAAATCAATATTTTATGTCAAAACCCAATCACACTCCAACTGAAACACAAAAACAAACTTTAATAAAACTCAATCTGAAGGAAAAGTGTCTGTAACGACTTGAATCAATTTAATAAATTGAATTTTCATTCACATTTAGAATCATCAGCAACAAATCCACCAAACCTCGTTTCCTTCCTTTATGTCTCGATTTAACTTTTAAAATAAAAATATTACTTTAACACACTAACAAGTAAACTTTTATTTTTACAGTAAATGAAACAAATACAGTTGTGAAATAGATTTGAGTAAAATTTTGTTACCAAATTATATTTTTCACACATTTTTATTGTAAATAAAATTTAAACTTGATCCATGAGAGAAACAGAAGCTTCAGTGTGGAGCTTCACACCAACACCTCGTTTCACCTGGAACATTTAAAACTGATTTAAAACAGATTTAACACGGAATTAAAACAGATTTAAAATAGAATTTTAAACAGATTTTAAACGGATTTTAAACAGAATTTAAACATTTAAAACAGATTTGAACACATTTTCAACGTTTCACCAAATAACGTCCAGAACTTGAGACATTTCAACCTCTCACGACAAAAACATCACCAATAAAAACCAAGAGGATAAATTTAAACTCCTCCAGGAAGTTTCAGAGCAGTTTGGAGTTTCTACAGACGGTTCATATGTTCACAACCAGCTTCAGATGGTTATCTTCTGGACCTGGGCCAGGCACGTGGAGGAGGTGGAGGTGTTCTGGAGGAGGTGGAGGTGTTCTGGAGGAGGTGGAGGTGGAGATGATCTGGAGGAGGTGGTGGAGGACATGTTCTGGAGGTGGTGGAGGACATGTTCTGGAGGTGGTGGAGGACATGTTCTGGAGGTGGAGGTGGAGATGTTCTGGAGGTGGTGGTCATGTTCTGGAGGTGGAAGTGGAGATGTTCTGGAGGAGGTGATGGAGATGTTCTGGAGATGGTCGTCATGTTCTGGAGGTGTTGGTGGACATGTTCTGGAGGAGGTCATGTTCTGGATTTGGTGGACATGTTCTGGAGGTGATCATGTTCTGGAGGTGTTGGTGGACATGTTCTGGAGGTGTTGGTGGACATGTTCTGGAGGTGGTGGACATGTTCTGGAGGTGGTGGACATGTTCTGGAGGTGGTCATGTTCTAGGTGTTCTTGAGCTGTGGAGACTCAGAGGTTTGGGTCTTCTGCAGATGTTCTGTTGGACATTCTGTGGTTCCTCTTCAGTTTGAAATGGCCTGATCTGATTGGTCGTTCTGTGCTCGTGCGATTGGTCGTTCGTGCAGGTTTTTGTCTTGTTCTTTTGATTGGTCAAACTCCACACCATGAGACACGCCCCTGGAGACACGCCCTGGAGACACGCCCCTCACAGATTCGTCCTCGGTCAGAGCAGGAGAACATTAACATAACGTCTGTGCATGTGGTAGTGTCTGTGTGCATGAACATCTCAGAGACTCCAGACCTTCTCCAGAGGAAACGCTCTACAAACAAACAAACCAACCCAAACCTCATGGGCCAGAACATCTGAGGTCTGCTGGAGGACCTGAGGTCTGGACTCTCCGAGGTCACTCTGTGCTAAAATGAAGTTCTGTCACTGGACCAAAGTGTTTGGAGTGAAGATGTTTTCTGCTCGTTAAACTGTGACTCAGCATCATCGCTCAGGCCTGAGGGGGGCGCTCTCTCTCTGTCACTGTTCAGTCTGACCATGGACCTACAAACAGGAGACAGGTCAGGCCCTCAGGTCAGGTCAGGCCCTCAGGTCAGGCCCTCAGGCCAGGCCCTCAGGTCAGGCTCTCAGGTCAGGCTCTCAGGTCATGTCAGGCCCTCAGGTCAGGCCCTCAGGTCAGGTCAGGCCCTCAGGTCAGGCCCTCAGGTCAGGCCCTCAGGCCAGGCCCTCAGGCCAGGCCCTCAGGTCAGGCCCTCAGGCCAGGCCCTCAGGCCAGGCTCTCAGGTCAGGCTCTCAGGTCAGGCTCTCAGGTCATGTCAGGCCCTCAGGTCAGGCCCTCAGGTCAGGCCCTCAGGTCAGGTCAGGTCAGGTCAGGCCCTCAGGTCAGGCCCTCAGGCCAGGCTCTCAGGTCAGGTCTCTCAGGTCAGGCCCTCAGGTCAGGCTCTCAGGTCAGGCTCTCAGGTCAGGCCCTCAGGTCAGGCTCTCAGGTCAGGCTCTCAGGTCAGGTCAGGCCCTCAGGTCAGGCTCTCAGGTCAGGTCAGGCCCTCAGGTCAGGCTCTCAGTGTTCAGAGTTGGTCTCCTGGTGTTGTGAGATCAGTCGTGATCTTGAACACTTCTGCTCATCTGACTCAGACTATAAACCTGAACTGTGCCTGAGGACAGAGCGGAGACTCAAGGCCGACGTGTGGTCCTGCCTCAAATCATCTTCAACCCCCTCAGAGCGACCTAGAGCCGGTCCGCAGGGCCCTGAGCCGGTCCGCAAGACGCTGAGCCGGTCCGCATTTGTCTGTTGGACGAGCGGTGAAAGATCTTTGCTCAAACTTGAGTCCAGTGACAGAAGTGCAGATTTTTGTGGTGTCCCTCAGACGTTTGTGTCCCTCAGACGTTTGTGTCCCTCAGACGTTTGTGTCCCTCAGACGTTTGTGTCCCTCAGACGTCTGACACTTTGTGTTAAAGTCTCTAAAATCGCCTCGTGTGATTAGTTCGGCAGTTTCTGTGCAATTTCTGGAGCTGTGTTCTGATTGGCTCTTGACTGTTGACAGTGACGTTCAGGATGTTTGTCGTGTCCACGTGTGGATGGTGTGATTGAGCGTGTTTTTGAGCGTGTTTGAGTGTGTTTTTGAGCGTGTTTTGAGTGTGTTTCAGCGTGTTTTTGAGTGTGTTTTTGAGCGTGTTTTGAGTGTGTTTCAGCGTGTTTTGAGTGTGTTTCAGTGTGTTTTGAGCGTGTGTTTCAGCGTGTTTTTGAGCGTGTGTTTGAGCATGTTTTTGAGCGTGTTTCAGTGTGTTTTGAGTGTTTTTGAGCGTGTTTTTGAGCGTGTTTCGAGCGTGTTTCAGTGTGTTTTGAGCGTGTTTTTGAGCGTATGGCGGTGCGGCTCTAACCCTCACTTTTCTCCTCAGGTGTAGCCCTGACCCCTGACCCCTGACCTCTGACCTCAGTCATGGCTGTGGTCATCCGTCTGCAGGGCCTGCCCATCGTGGCCGGGACCATGGACATCCGCCACTTCTTCTCGGGGTTGACCATCCCGGACGGCGGCGTGCACATCGTGGGCGGGGAGCACGGCGAGGCGTTCATCGTGTTCGCCACGGACGAGGACGCGCGTCTGGGGATGATGCGTACGGGCGGCGCCATCAAAGGCTCCAAAGTGTCTCTGTTACTGAGCAGCAAGACGGAGATGCAGAACACCATTGAGCTGAGCCGCCGCCGCTTCGAACCCACCCCCGCCGAGGCCCCGCCCGCCGGGACACGCCCCTCCGTCGCCGCCCCTCCCTCAGCCTCCCCCTCCGCCCCCCAGCGCCCCGCCCAGTTCGCCGCCCCCGCCCCCGCGCAGGAAACCAAAGCCCCCCTCAACATGGCTGCCGCCTTCCCCCCCAGCTTCAGCTCCGCCCCCAGCTACAGCTCCGCCTCCACGCTCACCACGGCGCTGGCGTCCCTGAACCCACCCCTCGCCGCGCTGCCCAACATGGCCCTGCCGCCCATGCCCTCCCTCCCGCCGCCCTCCGTGCCGCCCGTCCCGCCCATGTCTCACCTGGCGCACATGTCGCCCCTCCCCCCCTTTAACCCCGCCCTCCCCCTCCTCTGGGGGCGCCCAACCCTCTGCTCTTTAACCCCATGACCCCTCTGCCCTCGCCGCTGCCCTCGCCCCTCGCCCCCCTGGGGCTCCACATGAAGGCGGTGTCCAACCCTCCACCCGTCTCCGCCCCCCTGACCCCCGATGACCTGGTGCTGTCGGTGCAGAACCTGCCGTACTCGTGTTCGGAGGCGGAGCTCCGAGACTTCTTCAGGGGCGTGGCGGTGGAGGGCGTGCGTTTCGTGCGCGACGCTCAGGGCCGGTCCACGGGGCGGGCGCTCGTCCGCTTCTTCTCGGCACAGGACAGTTACGAGGCGCTGAAGCGAGGGGGCGGGCATCTGGGCCAGCGCTACGTGGAGGTAAGCCCCGCCTCTGAGCGCCAGTGGAACGGCGCCGGCGAGAAAGGAGCGGAGCCTCAGGAGCGCGGGCGTCCAGCTCAGGGCGGCGCTCCCAGAGACCAGAGGGGGCGCTCTCGCTCTCCGCACAGACAGGACCTGTGCGTGTACCTCAAAGGTCTGCCCTACGAGGTGGACAAGAACCAGGTGAAGGAGTTCTTCAAGAACCTGTCGGTGGTGGAGGACAGTATGTACATCGCCTACGGCGCCAACGGCAAAGCCACGGGCGAAGGCTTCGTGGAGTTCGTCACGGAGCAGGACTACAAGGCGGCGCTGGGCGCGCACATGCAGTACATGGGCGCGCGCTTCATCCAGGTGCACCCCATCACCCGCAAAGGCATGATGGACAAGATCCAACAGATTCGCAAACGCGACAGTGACGCCAAAAACGCCGATGCCACGCGGGCGCCCAAGACCTGCGTGCACATCACCAACATCCCCTACAACGTGTCCCGCAAGGACGTGCGCGGCTTCCTGGAGGGTCTGGGTCTGTACGAGGACTCTCTGAAGGTCCTGACCGATGCCCACGGCAACGGGCTGGGCCAGGCCGTGGTCCAGCTCCGGTCGGACGAAGACGCCAGGAAGGCGGAGCGCCTGCACCGCCAGAAACTCAACGGGCGTGACGCCTTCGTGCACCTGGTCACATATGAGCACATGAAGGAGGTGGAGCGGAACCCGCCGCCGCAGAACAAACGGGGACAGAGGCCCGCCCTCGGCCAGGCCCCGCCCCCTTCACACCTGACCCCGCCCCCGGCCCATCTGGGCCCGCCCCCAGGACACGCCTTCGGGGCGCTGGCGGACGACTTCGGCTTCATCCGTAACCCCACCCCCTTCGCCCCTCCCTTCTCCGCCCCCGGCAACGGCCTGGCCCCACCCCCCGTCCCGCCCCTGGGCCCCGCCCTGGGGCCGGACCTCAGCGTCCCGCCCCCCCCTGGTGCCCGGGCTGCCCGCGCCCGCCCTCGACCCGCCGGGCTTCAGGGCGGCGGCTCCGTTCGGCCAGGACCCGAGGGGCGTCGTCCCCTTCGACGGGCGCAAAACGCCCAACCGCAACAATGGCAACGCCCCCCCGAGACACGGCGCCCCGCCCCCCGCCTTCCCCCCCGACCCCGCCCTCCGCGGAGCCCCGCCCCCGCGGCCGGTGCCGGCGCCAACGGCGGCCCGGCCGTGGTGAAGCTGCAGAACATGCCCTTCACCGTCACGCCCGACGAGATCATGGACTTCTTCTACGGCTACCAGGTGATGCCCGGCTCCGTCTGCCTCCAGTTCAACGACAAAGGTCTGCCCACCGGAGAGGCCATGGTCGCCTTCCACAACGCCAACGAGGCCGCCGCCGCCGTCTCCGACCTCAACGACCGCCCCATCGGCGCGCGCAAGGTCAAGATCAGCCTGGGCTAGAAACGCCGCCATCGCATCCGCCGCTACAGCTACAGATGCCCTCCCAGCGACACGAGGACACGGACTGCTGCACACGCCCTCCCCCTGTGCCCCCCCCCCCCGTGTGTGTCGGGTCCCTCCTCGTGTGTGTCAGGTTCCTCCCCCCCGTGTGTGTCAGGTCCCCCCCCGTGTGTGTCGGGTCCCTCCTCGTGTGTGTCGGGTCCCCCCCCCCGTGTGTGTCAGGTCCCTCCTCGTGTGTGTCGGTCCCTCTCCGTGTGTGTGTCGGGTCCCCTCCCCCGTGTGTGTCGGGTCCCTCCCCGTGTGTGTCAGGTCCCTCCTCGTGTGTGTCAGGTCCCTCCTCGTGTGTGTCGGGTCCCTCCCGTCCCGTCCGTGTCGTGTTTTCCTGCGGTTCTTGTAAATATCGGTGGTTTCTGTTTGGAAAAAGCTCTTTGTGTGTTTTTGTTTTTTAAGAAAAGTGAAATTGTTTAAATCTTTTGAATCTGATGCTTTTTTTTTTTTTGTCAAAGTTTTTGTTTAACTGGAGAAGATGATGTGATCCTTCAGCAGCTGCTCTCGAGACGCCCTGTCCATCATGTCCCGGTTCCTCTGGTCCCTCTGGTTCCTCTGGTCCCTCTGGTCCCTCTGGTCCCTCTGGTTCCTCAGGTTCCTCTGGTTCCTCAGGTTCCTCTGGTTCCTCAGGTTCCTCTGGTTCTGTTTGTGGTGTTTGTTGTGGAGCCGTGTAAAGGTCAGACTCAGGTCCATCATGTTCTTGTCCTGGTTTTATCATGAACTCAACGGTTTCTCTTGTTTCTCACTGAATCATGAATCTGAAAAGTGGCTTCTGTTTTTACAAGACTGAGATGTTTCCTCCCGCATCATGAACTGAGCCTGAGTTTTCTCTGCTCACGTGTTTGTTTCTCGATCTTTGCTCGTGTGTAAAAATATCAAATTAAAGTCTGATGGGTTTTTTTTCTGTGTAAAACAGTATGAGTTTGTTGGGAAGCGTTTGTCCAGAGATGTTCCTCACCGACCTTCTGCACCACACTGGCCACGTTTACATCAGGCTTTTTTAAATTCTCAATTAAATGCTTCAGAATATTTCCGTGTTAAACTGGTGAAATGTTTTTTATTTCATGTGTGTGAACGTCTGGGGAGAAGGTTCTGCTCCCGGCTTTTCTGGCGTCTGGGTTTATGGTTCCTCCATGGACACGAACACCGTCCAGACTTTCTGGACCAGCAGTGGTTCTGATGAGAACTGGAGAATTGTCTCATCACACTTTCCGTCTGTGAGCTGAGGAGGAGGAGGGAAGAAGAAGACAAAAGCTCAGCCCACTCCCGCATCCCGCTCACAAATCCAAAGAGACGTGGATCAAAGTCCCGAGACAGAACCAGGACCGGATCGTCCGGATCGACGCATCAGAAGAACGACACGACGAGCCTGAAGCACCAGCAGCATTTGAACAACAACAAACCACAAACAGGATCCAGGAAACAAACTCACATTTAAAATCAGAAGAAAACAAACACTTGCTTCAATATTAATATTCAATCACAATCATCACTTTTAATTCTTAATGAAGTGTTTATTATGGAAGCCCGTTTGTGTCAGTAAATAAAAAATAAAAGCGTCACAGAAAGTAACAATTACGGATTTAAAATTCATAATTATGGGTTTAAACATAAGTTTAACTGTCATAATTACGAGTTTAAAAGTCATATTTGCGAGTTTAAACATCAGAATTACGGGTTTTAAACTTGTAATTCTGAAGTTTAAACTCGTAATTATGACTTTAAATGTCATTACGAATACGAACATCAGAATTACGAGTTTAAATGTCATAATTATGAATATAAACATAAAAAACAAGTATAAATGTCATAATTATGAGTTTAAATGTCATAACTATGCGTTTTAAAGTCAATTATGGTATAAACATCATAATTATGAGTTTAAAAGTCAGAATTACGAGTATAAAAGTCAGAATTACAAGTATAAACGTCATAATTACAAGATTAAAAGTCATAATTACGAGTTTAAACGTCATAATTATGAATATAAACATCAGAATTACGAATTTAAACGAGGCTTTTATTATTTTGTGGTAGAAATTGGCTTTCATTGTTTCCTTGCTCTTTTTAAAGCAGGATTTATTTTTGTTCGGAATTAAATGTTTTTATTTAGAGTTAAAGCGCTCATGGAAACGTGACCAGTGAGTTTTAAGAGCTTTGCACGGCCCTCAGAGACCAGAGCGGAGTTTTACTGTTATCATAATACTGATAAATGGCAATCTAACGCGCACTTCCAGAAACGGGGGAAGTTGTCGTGGGGTTTGGTCAGAGTCTGAGGAGTTCTGTTTCCCTCAGAGGGTCATGGTTCTGTGAGTCCAAACGGAACCGGGACACTTTAAGTGTGACGTGTGAAGTGTAACGTTTGAAGGAAAGTGTGCCGTGGACGTGGGGCAGAGAAGAGGAACTCCCCACCAGAATCTAGTGACCCTCCTGGAAGAAGATGTGAGCGGTCGGGAGGAGGGACCAGCCGCAGGGTCCAAGAGAGTCCGGGTCTAGTCCTGGTCTAGTCCTGGTCTACAGCCGGTCTTCTGTGAGGAAAAGCCTGGAGCACAGACCGACACCGGAAGAAACTCACAAACATAAAGTCTGTTGTTTTCTTGTTGTTTTATGTTTTTAAAAATACAAAAAACCACATCAGTGACGAAAAACTGCTCTGACGCTCTGGTCTCTGATCCCTGGTCCCTGGTCCCTGGTCCCTGGTCTGGTCCAGTCTCAGCTCTGTGTTCCCTCATTTCTAAGATTTTTCCCAAAATGAAACTTTTAACTCAAGTCATTTTTATTTTGATAAGGCGTTTAAAGTGCTGGTTCAGAGTCACTTCAGCCTCAGGTCCTTTGCTCGTTGACCTGCATCACATTTGTCGTCTGCTGGAGATCAGGTCGGTCCAACTGACGAACACACTCGGACAAATTGGGATAAAATCTGATGAAAATTGACGATAAAGGAAATGTGGGAACACAGGGCCGAATTTTGGAAAGAAAAGGGGAAAAAATGAGGGAACAAGGGCACACTGTCCCTGGTCCCTGAGCCGGTCTTTGGTCGGGTCTTTGGTTCGGACTCTGGTCCGGTCTCTGGTCCGGTCTCATTTCTGATGGAAAATGTTTAAGACTTTTCTTGGTCAGATTGTGGATTTACAAGAGTAAAAATATAAATGGTAAGAATCAATTCTAAAAAAGCAGTTAGAAAGACAGAATAATAAATTTATTTTACAAATAAAACAGAATAATATAAATGTAAATGTACAGATCAAATGAGTTTTTATCGTCATGTTTGTGTAAATACGAATCTAGTGGAGGAACATTCTACTCTGTTTCGCCAACTGTCAAGAAAAATAAAACATTTAAAACACAACCCCCCGACATGTCCACACTCGTCCCCACACATGTCCACACTTGTCCCCACACTCGTCCCCGCACATGTCCACACTCGTCCACATGTCCACATTCGTCCCCACTCATCCCCACACTCGTCCCCACTCATCCCCACACTCGTCCACATGTCCACACATGTCCACACTTGTCCACATGTCCACACTCGTCCATATGTCCACATTCGTCCCCACTCATCCACACACTCGTTCCCACTCATCCCCACACTCGTCCCCACTCATCCCCACACTCGTCCACACTCGTCCACATGTCCACACTTGTCCACATGTCCACACTCGTCCATATGTCCACATTCGTCCCCACTCATCCACACACTCGTCCCCACACATGTCCACACTCGTCCACATGTCCACATTCATCCCCACACACGTCCCCACTCATCCCCACACTCGTCCCCACACATGTCCACACACATGTCCACACACATGTCCACACTCGTCCCTGAGACAAGAAGACAAGTGACCAGAATTCAAAATACAACAGAAAAATAAGTAATAAAATATAAAAACACAACTTTATACAAGAGAAAGACACAGAGTGACGAGTCATAAGGGTGAGCTGTTGTAGGGAGTATTATCTGTGACATAAGGGTGAGATGTACAGTTGTAGGGAGTATTATCTGTCCGTGTGTCCTCAGATGGCAGACTGTGTGTCTCTGGTGGAGTTGTCCGTCTCCTGCTCAAACCTTCTGGACAAAGATGTGGGCTCCAAGTCCGACCCGATGTGTGTCCTCCTCCAGAAGAACCAGGAGACCTGGACCGAGGTGAGCCGGATGCCCTCCCACCGCCTCTGTGTGTGTGTGTGTCTATGTGTGTAAGGTGCCCTCATGTGTGTGCGTGTATCAGTGTGTGTAAGGTCCCTGTGTGTGTATGTGCAGGTGTTTGTGTGTGTCAGTGTGTGTAAGGTCCCTGTATGTGCAGGTGGGTCAGTGTATGTAAGGTCCCTGTATGTGCAGGTGGGTCAGTGTGTGTAAGGTCCCTGTATGTGCAGGTGTCAGTGTGTGTAAGGTCCCTGTATGTGCAGGTGTATGTGTGTATCAGTGTGTAAGGTGCCCTCGTGTGTGCGTGTATCAGTGTGTGTAAGGTTCCTGTGCATGTGTATGTGCAGGTGTATGTGTGTATCAGTGTGTGTAAGGTCCCTTGGTGTGTATGTGTGTATCAGTGTGTGTAAGGTCCCTGTGTGTGAATGTGCAGGTGGGTCAGTGTGTGTAAGGTCCCTGTGTGCGTGTGTATGTGCAGGTGTGTATGTGTGTGTAAGATCCCTGTGTGTGTGTGTGTGTATGTGTGTATCAGTGTGTGTAAGGTCCCTGTGTGTGTGTGTGTATGTGCAGGTGTATGTGTGTATCAGTGTGTGTAAGGTTCCTGTGTGTGTGTGTGTGTGTGTGTATCAGTGTGTGTAAGGTCCCTGTGTGTGTGTGTATGTGCAGGTGTATGTGTGTATCAGTGTGTGTAAGGTCCCTGTGTGTGTGTGTGTGTGCAGGTGTATGTGTGTATCAGTGTGTGTAAGGTCCCTGTGTGTGTGTGTGTGTGCAGGTGTATGTGTGTATCAGTGTGTGTAAGGTCCCTGTGTGTGTGTGTGTGTGTGTGCAGGTGTATGTGTGTATCAGTGTGTGTAAGGTCCCTGTGTGTGTGTGTGTGTGTGCAGGTGTATGTGTGTATCAGTGTGTGTAAGGTCCCTGTGTGTGTGTGTGTGTGTGTGCAGGTGTATGTGTGTATCAGTGTGTGTAAGGTCCCTGTGTGTGTGTGTGTGTGTGCAGGTGTATGTGTGTATCAGTGTGTGTAAGGTCCCTGTGTGTGTGTGTGTATGTGCAGGTGTATGTGTGTATCAGTGTGTGTAAGGTCCTGTGTGTGTGTGTGTGTGTGTATGTGCAGGTGTATGTGTGTATCAGTGTGTGTAAGGTCCCTGTGTGTGTGTGTGTGCAGGTGGGTCGCACGGAGCAGGTGCAGAACACTTCGTCTCCGAGCTTCAGTTCCAGGTTGAGGATTCAGTTTCACTTCGAGTCGGTGCAGCAGCTCAAGTTCTGCGTCTACGACATCGACAACAAAACCAGCGACCTGAAGGACGATGACTTCCTGGGCGGAGCCGAGATCGCGCTGGGGCAGGTGAGGGGCGGGGTCAGGGGGCGAGGTCAGGGTCAGGGGGCGGGGCTAACTGTGTCTCTGTTCCAGATCGTGTCGAGTAAAAGTTTGACTCGTCCTCTTCAACTGAAAAAAGACAAACCTGCAGGAAAAGGATCCATCACCGTGAGTACTATATATACTACTACTACTACTACATATACTACTACTACTACTACTATTACTGCTGTAAATACTAGTATAAATGTAAGTGTGTGTTCTGTTCTGTTCTCAGGTCACTGCAGAGGAGGTCAAAGACAACAGAGCCCTGGAACTGGAGCTGGAGGCCAAGAACCTGGACAAGAAGGTCTGAACCAGGACTCAACCTAGAACTAGACCAGGACTCAACCTAGAACTAGACCAGGACTGGACTCTGGTCTTGACGTGTTTCTGTTCTTCAGGACACTTTTGGAAAGTCCGACCCGTTTGTGGAGATTTTTAAACAGGGAGATGACGGAAAGTGGATCCTGGTCCATCGCACCGAGGTAAGACCTGGATCTGGATCTGGACCTGGACCGGGTCAAGTTCTCGGGGCCTC